GAGGGAGCTGAACGCCGCCGTGGGGCTTGCTGGGTGGTGAAGGACTCTCTGCTCTAGTTTCTCAGTTTGGAAGCTGGAGGTGTCGTGGTGCCTCGCCGGGCATCCCAGGGAAAAGCAGTGTTGTGTAGTGTAAATTTATTACATATTGAAATGTGCGGCTCTGTCAAAATGCAAAGCTTTGCCTGGAACTGGGACTTGCTGTATTCTTTAACGAGGATTTCTCATCTCCGTTGCTTTCTCTTTTTCTGTATAGGACCAGTTGTCCTGGCTGCGTAGTGTGTTGATTACAGTATTTGTCACTTAAGAGGTGTGTTCCTTTCTGTTGCTTAACGCATATACCAAGAAGCTTTTGGTTCTGTATAACAAAATGCATCATGTCCAGCCCAGACAGCAGAGAGCTTGTCCTTCATCATTCACTTTCTCAGCTCTGCTTCTGGCATCTTGAGGAGTTCTCTGCTGCAGAGGATCTGTCTTGGGCAATTATTTCTTTATGCCACTTTCAGTACTGCTGAGGTATTATCTTTGCACAAGGCCTTTGGATTTCTGCAGTGGAAAAGCTTCAGAATGTTCTCCTTTTGCTTTATCTTTTTTTTTTTTTTTTTTTCTCCCTATGGTGCCGTTTGCAATATATCAGCAGCAAAGAAATGTGATGCAGGTCATATCTCATGCTTCTTGATAAATTTAACAGCTTTTATGTACGTTCCCATGTCCTTGTTTTAACAAGGAAAGACCATTTTTTACAATTTAAAGATAGTTAATAAGATGCAGTTTAATCGTGCATTAACTATGAAGGGATGGATGACTTCTAGCCCACGTGGAGATATGTTTTCTCGCTAAATACAATTAGTCTGTTTGAGCTCTATGTTGTACATTGTTCCTGCTTGATCCTCTCTGCTCTTCAACAGCTCTCCATTCAGTTTAACAGAGGGGCATGGCTGTGAGAGCTTGTGGCTTGATCATCTACAGGAGGCTGCAGTCAGCACCATCTTCTAAGGTCACTGATGCTATTGAATACCTCCTCCTTCAGACATCCTATGGGACCCATCACTGGACCCCACCCAAAGGTGATGTTTGTTCTGATAACACACTTCAAGGTCTCTTCTGTGGGGAGTGAGTGAGATTACAGACTGAACTTTGGCTGCATGCTGCAAAGGTCAGCTTTGAGGAGCAGTTAATCAGTTGTCAGTAGCTGCTAATTCTGGTGTTTATGCAGCTGCGTGGGTAGTTTTGTGGCCAAAATTCTTTGCAAGTTGTGACTGTATAAACCATTGGGCATGACTGATTGGGTTTGGTGGGGGAGAGTTGCCCAGTCATGCTCCGTGGATATCTGATGTTTCTGGCAGACATTGAGCAGACAATTGAAGTTAGGTAGGTAGAGAAAGTTTTACCTTCTTGCTCAGGCCTGACCCTCCGCCAGATACCGCTGTTGCCAAAGCACAGTTGTTTGACCCGTGTATAATCAGAAGAGTCACAGTTTGCAGTGCAACTGTAGAAGGCAAATTGAAATCAGTGATGATTTACTTTAAAATGCTTTTCTTAGAAGATGCAGGAGTTTCTGTAAGTTCAGGAGATCGTTGATGAAGAGCACATACCTATGCAGCAGAGATGAGAGGGAGAGCTAGGAGAAGTAGCCTTATCAGCCATCTTCACCTAAGCCATTCTCTCTCATCAGTGAGGCCCCAAAGGAGAAGATGAGCCTGCTGCCCCAAGTCATACAGCAACGCCTTGTCTGTAAAGACATGTGGCAGAGCCAGGGTTCGGTAGTACATAGTCGCAGCCCTGGTACCAGGAAAAGCACAGCACAGAAATACTTCAGGTTCCTTGTAGATCTTATATGCTGGTTTTCTACCCTGTGAGACTTCTTCCTGCTAGTTTTTACTTCGTGTTTTGTAAAATGCAGTGCTCTTAAAGCATAGTGCAGGAACAGTTTGTAAACAAGAATTTGCAAATTGGAAAAAAAAGCTTGTAACAGTATGAGCTACGCTCTCCTATTAAGGGAAAGGACAAAACTTTCCAAACCTCCCCCTTTGTCCACTTCACCAAAAGCCTAAGGGATTAGAGTTTGTAGCCTACTGGAAAGCTAAAAAATATGTACTGGGAGATGATTAATTGTTGTTAAAGGACAGACCCATGTGGAAAGTTCACTGGGAACACAGTAATTCTGGACAAGCGGTTGGAATGACTTAGAAGCACTTCAGGAGGGAGTGAAATGACTCCTAGGCATACATCTTATATACTCAAAATCATAGAATCATCAAATTGTTTGGGTTGGAAGGGACCTTTAAAGGTGATCTGCTCCAACCCCCCAGCAAGGAGTGGGGACATCTTCAACTAGATGAGGTTGCTCAGAGCCCTGTGCAACCTGACCTGGAATGTTTCCAGGGATGGGGCATCTACCACCCCTCTGGGCAACCTGTTCCAGTGTTTCACCACCCTCCTAGGAGAAAATGTCTTCCATGTATCTAGTCTGAATCCACCCTCCTTTAGTTTAAAACCACTACCCCTTGTCCTATCGCCACAGGCCCTATTAAAAAGGCTGTCCCCATCTTTCTTATAAGCCCCCTTTAAGGCCACAGTAAGGTCTCCCTGGAGCCTTCTCTTCACCAGGCTGAACAACCCCAACTCTCTCAGCTTTTCCTCATAGGGGAGGTGTTTCACCCTCTGATCAGTTTCGTGGACCTCCTCTGGACCCGCTGTAACTGGTCCACGTCTGTCTTGTGCTGAGGGCTCCAGAGCTGGACAGAGTACTCCAGGTGGGGTCTCGCAAGAGCAGAGTATAGCAGCGGAATCTCCTCCCTTGACATATTGTTTAAGGTTTTATAGATCAAAAGCCACAATCTGTTGGTAGCCTTTTAATAGTAGCTCGGTACAGATTTGGGGGCAATAAATGAAGGGGAATTGTTGCATGCTCATTATTATGTTATTCACTGCGATATGAGTGGTCTTCAAAGGCAGCCTCAGGTTGTGTGATGCAGTAACATGTGTATGATGCAGACATAGATTTAATGTGACAGGAGCCAGAATGAGAAGTTGTAATCATCTCTCCAAGACCATGCAAAAGGCAATTTACAGCTACAGCTGTGCATTGGTATTTTAAAAGTCCCCTAAACAGCTGCAACCCTTATGGGATTAAGTTGGACTTGTGTGGATCCACCCACGTGAGCTTCATCAGCCTCACCTCTGAGCTTCATCAACCTATCTCTGTGACAGAACTGTAACTTTGCATTAGCTGAGGCTGATGGGAAGGGGATGTGGGGTTCATTTTCCTCCTCAGCATATTGAAACTGCGTTAGTGCAAACGTCTGGGAGGATCTGCAAGCTACGGTGTGAGGTGCTGCCAGCAGTCCTTTTTCTGCCCCGTAGGTAGGCTGTACTGCACAAAGTTGGAAATTTACTGAGCTGAAACTTGAGGTTATCAACAGCAGGGTGAGGTGATTGCCTTTCACTGTGCTGAAGAAGAGCAGGAGGTTGCACTGGTGTCCTTTGAGTTGGAACTGAATCTCAGCCCTCCAGCTTTATTGCTACCTCAACTCATTGCTCATTTGGTGACTATGGATCATGACTATCATAAAAAAATAGTGGTTATTTACTGTTCATGGATGTTCCATGGGCATTTGCATTGTTGAAGTATTCCAGCTGTGCAAGGCCAGGTGGATTCTGTTTCTCAACTGTTGGCAATAAGCCCCAACTATGGAAATACATACATTGTCAAAAAGGAGACAGCTTGACTTGCAGTGCTGGGATTCAGGAGGGAAATATTTTTACTTAAAGCTTCAGTGTGTTTGATCTTAAATATCCGAGACATCAAGTGCAACATCAGCTGCTGTTTTCTGCACAGTTGCTGCTTGAAATAGAAGCGTATTTTACATTTGAGATGATGTCATATTGTAAGGTGTTTAAGCTTCTGCTACACAGACAAAGAAGTGAGTGAGGCCTGTTGGGAAAGAGAAATGAGCTTCCCACGTACCTCAGTTCTAGTACTAAAGGGTGTCTTTGGGTACCTGGGCCCTGAGGCAAGATCCATCTCTGTGATGAAATTACAGCTATTTGCAGCCAGCTACATAGAAAATAGAGTGACACCAGGGGCAAAATAAAACCTAACTTTTTTTTCCTTCTTGGTATCCCAACTCCTGCTATGTTGCTTTTTTGAGATCTTGCTTGGCTTGTTCTATTTATGTTCTGGTCTGGAGCTTTCATGAGAAACCCAAATCTGACATTTCTCAACAAAAGTACAAACAGCTGGGGATGTGTTATATTTATCCGTTGTTTGTAATGGCACCTCTCGTTCTGAGCAACGTAAAATAAATGATGTGTCCTAGAAGAACTACACAGCTGGTGAAAGGACTGGCTTTTAGGCTTGCTGTGTTTCAGAGGGCAATATGGGAGAGAAATAAAAATACCCCTAACTGAAACCCACCTTTTAAATGACATTAGTTGGTGCCTGGTCCTGTTGTTTCTGGGCTGTTGGCCTGAGTAAGAGTTTTGCAAAACTGAGCCATAAGCTTCTGTGGGAGGGAAGGGTTGAGAGAGGACTAAGACTCTTGCAGATGAGCAGTCTCCCCTCTGACTGGATAAAGGGAAAACATTCGTGAGGCACTCAGTCCACAATATGGTCTGAGGTGGAACATTATGGGTGCAGAGTGCTCCAGAAGAGGACAGGAGGACTGGGAAGAAAAGACATTTAGTGCTGACAGGCCTATGGGAGTTTCAGAAGATGTGGGATAAACAACGATCCTAAAAGCCACAAGACAAATCAAGACATAAGAGTTGGAAAAGCAATCTCCGTTCTCCAAATTCTGTTTGATTCTTTATCGGCTACAGTATACACTCATCTCTGTCCCCCGATGTTTCCTCGTTGTCAACTGAATAAACAAAACCTGAGTTTCCCTCTCAGAGACTTACCTTTTCACCTTCTTGACAGGCCACGTGGACCCAGGAGAGGATGACCTGCAAACAGCCTTCCGGGAAACGCAGGAAGAGGCTGGTCTTCAGGCCAGTCAGCTCACCCTCATAGAGGGGTACAAGAAAGAACTGCACTACCCTGTCCGTGGCAAACCTAAGACCGTCATTTACTGGTTGGCAGAAATGAAGGACTGTAACACAGAAATCAAGCTCTCAGAGGAACACCAGGCTTTCCAGTGGCTGAAGCTGGAGGATGCTTGCAAATTTGCAGAATATGAGGACATGCAAGCAACTCTGAAAGAAGTGCATCAGTTTCTCTGCTCCAAAGAATAAATGCTTGTGTGAAGGATAAAGGGAATTTTTGAAGGAAGATGGCCTGCCTTTTTTTTTTTTTTTTTTTTTTTTTTAAACGAAGGGAAGAACTACATGGCTGCAGAAATGTAGATTTCTTTTTTAAGTCTATGCAAATTCGGTGAAGATATCTGGAGCTTTTAAAGAGCTTGTGCTTTTGTCTCCCCTAGCTAACACAAAAAAGCATGGTCTGATTGAACCATGAGCCAGAGATGTCTGAATTGAAACCCAGAGCTAACAAAGACTTCCTCTGTCCTGTCTCCTTTTCTTTTTACTTTTTTTTTTTTTTTTTTTCCCCCCTGAAGTGCTGAACAACCACAGGTCTTTTTGAAAATCAAAGACTCGATCTTTCTTGACTTGCTGATGTATATGTACAGAGTTGAGAAAATCAGCATATGGGGATTTTTAATAATAAAATGTTTACTGCAGAAGTGGCACCTTGCATTTCAAATGGGGAAGCAGTAGTTCTGTTCCCAACTCCTCCACTGATAACCTGTCAAATTATTTCAGGTCTTGTTTGTATCATGAATTTATGTACACCGCTAATGTACTGTTATGAAAACATTTTCCATCCAAAGAGTCTTAGTAAACAGTTCATGTACAGTATTTAAATGGTGAACGTGAAGTTCTTTTGCCTCTTCCTTTTCCTTTTTGCTCTTTAACAAACACCTTGGCTGTATGTTATTTAAAGGTTGGGAAGGGGAAATCTATCTGCCTAATAGAGCATTTTCTGCACAGAGTATCTACGCTAATGTGCAGTCTTGTGTCTGATAGTGTGTGTTTCTGTGGCTGGAGCCTGCAGCTATGTGTGGGCAGCAGGGCTGTGTGTGCTGCCAGTGCTGTGCTGTAGATAGATACTCATGCTGGATGATCGCGGTCGCCTGCAATGGTATCGATGAACTTGCCTGCATCAGGTTTCCTGTGGTCCTCTCCTTTGTCATTAACATCGCTGGGAGCTGAGGTTGTTGGGACTCACTATGATTACGCATGTCCCATTAGCAGTGGTTCATAATCTTTTGGATGTGATGGTACATAAATACCAGAAAAGCATGATGGCATTATTAACATTTTTAGGTGAGGAATGAGTTTATCTGAATCCCCGGGAACTTGGGGGGGAGAGCAAGTTGTCCCATCTTCCCTATGTCTCCTCTAGCCTTTGCTGCTTAGGCACTTGGACCTCGCAAAGCAAATAAGTGCATGAGAGAGCAGGGTCTGCTTCCACTTTGTCTTCCTCTTTGCTGCAAGAGCGAAATGAGGGTCATCAGCATCACATCAACCTTTGGAGAAGACCTGCAATACCAGAGATGCAGCGTAACAAGGCTGAGAAATATGGGTGGCAGTTTAGGATTTTGTTACTCTCATGTTACGCATCACTCATCCTTTGGTGCAGCATATATTAATAACGTCAGTACCACTGTGACATTGAGTGGTGTTTTGCTCATCACTCTGTTATCTTCCTGTAGAGTCATTTATAAAAGCCTTCTTATAGTGTATCCTTTTTTGTGTGTGTATATATGTATGCCCCCACACAAAAGAAGATGCAGCATAAGGGGGCTTTAATATGTATATATACACACACATAAACAATTTCAGTGCTCCTCCACTTTACAGTCAGGCTTTATTTTGATTTTGAACACTGTTCACAAGCATTGCATTCAGGTGGCGGCAGAGGGTGAACGTCACATAGGTTGTGCAATTGCTCTGAGTGTTTCTCAGCTGGCTTTAGAAGCAGAGGATGGAAGGTGTCTCTCACTGTCACCTGGTCCAGCCCCAAGGCAGAATCAGCTATTTTGGAGTCTTTCCTGATGGATGTTTGGCTAACATGCTTTTTAAGACCTCTCATGATGGAAGACTCACACCTCCAGCTCCTCTGCTTATACCTTGGAGAATTTGGTCACCAGCATCTAATGTAGGTAAAGCAGTGAGAATAACTAAAAGATAACAACCAGTAAAAGAGAGGGGGAGAAAACAGCTACAAGCCTGTGCTGCTTCACAGTCTTATTTTTTCATTATTGTTAGAGCTACCATTTAATCAGTGCTATGTAAACAATGGTGTTACTGCCTTCATGTTTATGAGCGAGATTAGCATATTAGCTATGAATTACAGAGAGTCATTAACAAATCATCTGTTCTGCCTGTTCAGCACTAATGAACATAGGCACTTGCTCCTTTGGAAAGCACAACATTAGCTGAACTCCAAGTGAGTATTTCCATTTTAATGGCATGGCATACATAGTGTTCTCAAAGTGCGTGCAGGTTTTGGAGGGTAGCAAGTGCACTGTAAGGTGATGTACTCCTCGGACAAAATTTCAAAGGCAGGCATCTTAATTGTGGTAGGAAGAGGTACAAGGGACGTAAATGTGATTACTGGTGAGGCACTGCATGTGCATTTTGAGCAATTCATGTACAGAGGTAATTCCCACAAATTGTGTGTGTGTAAAATGATGCTTACACGTTTGGAAACTTGACCCAAAAGTCTCTGCATTTGTTTTAAAGTGGAAACATTGGGAAGTCAGAATTTAATTCTGACTCTCGTTTGTGTTCACTGCTCACTGGTGAAGAAAGAGTTCTTCATCTGCCTATGTCTAGTAGTAAAATATTTTCCCAAGGAGCATGTGGGAAACCCTCCAGTGAATAATTATGGACTAATCTGCCTGGGGAAGACATTTATTTCCAACCTCTATGATTTTTATGCCCTGAACCAATAAGGTTTGTATTTTCCTTCTTGATACCAGCTAAGTTTTTGGTCCTAATAATATCTCGTGGCAGTTAATTTTTACCAGGCTGTGGATCTATGTTTAAAAAGAGAAATAAAAAAAATAACAAAACCACAGAGACTTTAAATTCCCTAGAGGCCTTACATCAGCCTTAGATTAAATAATATCAAAATGTAAAGAGTTCCAGACTCCACTGAAATGGCACAAGTTAATTTAGGTAAAGTGAAAAGCATTTAAGTCTGAGTAAGAAGTTAGGATATGGTTTCCTTTGCACTGCTGAACAAATATACTGACGCAGCTCATACGTGTAATTTCTTGGTGTTATTTCTTTCTCTAAATAATTCCTGATTTATAGCCACAATTGTGGTTTACATCATCACAAGATCAGAGACAAGGAAAGCATAAGATCATGAGTATTAGGAAAGCACTAAGACATTGCAAATTTCACTGAGAAAAGATAGGGATAGTGTGTGGTGGGTTACAAGTAATTATGCTCATACAAGAAGTGTAAAGGCTGAAAGCAGTGCCTTGCTCCTTTCTAGAAAAAAACCCTGTACTACTGCTCTAAATGGGAGCAGTATATCTATTCATTGACTATTTTATATGAAAAATCAGAGGCTGAAGCTGGTATAAAATAGCTGAATAATGTAATATCCCCAACAAGCATCACCAGTGTCACTTGTCATTCTACATGAAGAAAGAGGATGTGTGTTATAATAAGGTCTAATACATTCTAAATATGGAGACACTTTGAGAAACACACACTCTCTCAGCAGGACACTTGCAGTGATGCAGAGATGATGGAGTGCTACCTTTTAACTTAGAAAAATGACTTGCTGTTACTTAATTGATAACTTAGTGGGGGGAGTATTTTGCCAGATGTCTGGAGGAGAGTCTTTAATCTTTTGAGTCCTGAAGGCAGTGCTTATTAGTTATGTTCCCACATTGACAAAGTAACTGACTGCCTTCTGTATCTGTTGGCAGCTAGTTTTATCTTAAGAAGGATTTAAGGATTGTCAGGACTTCTGTTTTTCACCTTACAGCTTGTCTCCAAGGACTTACTTTCTCATATGCTTAGTAACTCCAGCATTTCAGGGTAATGGACAGTTGCAGCTGGCGAGAGCCTCGCTTCATTTAGCTAAATCTGGGGTTTGTTAGGGGTTAAATCAGCTCTGGAAGAGCTAAGCAGCGTGTGCCTGTACAAACCAAACAATCTGCTCTGCTTGCTTCAACCTTGTGCTGTGCAAGGAGATTGTTCTCAAGTGTTAAAAAAAAACCCAAACAGCACTTACAACTCCCTGTCAAAACAGCAAGGCTAGGGAGGAGATTGGCTATCTTCCTGGTGGGAAGAGGGATGGAACGACAGCTCCGTTGTTTCGGACCTAGTCCATTTGATAATTGGCATTATCAAACAGAGGAGTGACAGTCCCATCTTTCCACTCAATGAGGATCTCTCCATGCCTCAAGGAAGGGGAGCGAGATGGTGGAAGGTATGGCTGAGGACCTCTTCGTAAGGGAGATGGCTCCCGTAAGTCAGCTCTGCTGCTGTTGGCTGGGGAGCTCTTCAGAGCAGAGAGGATTTTCTTCTTCCTACGAGAAGAGAGAAGAGAGTATGTAACTGCATCTACCTGTCTCTTGGTTGCTTCTCCTTGTGAACTGGATCAACAACCATAGTGCCCAAATTCCCTAAACCTTCAGGGATGGTGCGAGGTGGCTGGGGGGAGAAGGAGCCAACATCAGTGGCTACATTTGGATGGGACAGGGAGCGGGAGGGAGAAACAGGGCAGCAGAGAGGAGAAATCATCAAGGGTGACATGGGTGAGCAGAGCCATCTGCTCAGAGCCATGCACTTCAGGTGTGGAATTGGGAAGGGTGCCAAGATCAAGGCATTTGTTTCAAAGTGCTGGACAGGAAAGTGGGAGACAGAATGAACCTTAATCTCACTTACTTGTTGTAATGAACATTGAGTGTCAGTATTATTAATCCCAGTATGAACGCCAAGGGGCTGAGGACCAGCATGGCCGTCTTCCAGTTGGTGCCTGAAAGGATATCATAAAAAACAATCGCACATTTGCTGTGCCGATCCCCGTTCTTATGCAATAGCCATGATTGCCACAAAAAATACCTGTAATGTCCCTGAAGACTAACAGATAATAGAAGTGCTTTGTCCATAAGATCAACACCTTACAGCTGCTTTATACTGCACAGTATCCCTCTATTGAAAATGGTCATAAAAAGTTTTTCTTTTTTGCTAGGAAGACAATAACTATTCATGCTTCTCTACTCTGCAGCGCTCTGATATGAAATAAGAAGGGCTGGGGGAAAGCACCAGTGCTAGTGCGTGTCTGATTCTCCTGGTGAGCTGGAACAAAGCATTTGTGTGTTTTAGTTGCTTTTGTACTCCAGGCCTGGGGAGATTTATTTAATCTTTAAAAGGTGTTTTTCTGACAGGTAATTTGGTGCCTTTGTTCACTACTGAATATCCTCAGTGGGACCCAGGGGAATGAAACTCTGTATTGATGGGAAGGTCAGGGCACTGAAGAACCTTCATCTACCTGGTCTCAGCCTCCTCTGGCTGATCCCTGGACCTACCTGCAAGCCTGGCCCCAGCATTTTTCCCTCGATTTCCATGTTGCTTTTTAGAGTGATTGTGGGACACATCTGGGGGAAGAAGCAGAGAGACTCAGATTAGCATCTTCCACTGGTGGATTGAAGGAAGCCCCATCTTCCTCCTGGGGCTGCACCATAACTGCATAGCCCCTTTGAATGGAGCCGTCAGGGAAAAGGGAACTTTCTTGTTCCTCAGCATTCCCCAGGCACAGATATTTTTTGCTCCTAGAA